AAGGGTGGTCGAGTGGAGCGCGCGAGGATGACGGTGTTGAAGGAGCAGCGTGGAAGCACGGGTGCGTTTCATCGAAACGGGATAACGAGGTCGGATGAGTTGCCTGGTTCCACAGTTCCACTTCATCAACGCGAAGCCAACTAAACTGTCAATCGCAAAGCCCACTACCGCGTCAAAACCCTTTCGACAGCATCTAGATATTCTCGTCTCGATAACGCGTAGCACTTCACCCATCGATTTCACGGCATCCACGGTTGCACGCGATGCAACGACTTCTCTGGAAATTCAATTCGAGTTACGAGCTCGATTAACCGCCGCGATCGTCTCGTGGGAATAGTACGGTTTGGCTCGTATGGTGAATTGAGATGAAAACGAAACGTAATGGAGGAAGGTACGATGATCTGTCCGATGAACGAGTACTCAAGCTGTGCGTGCGATCCCGGTGATTGTCTTTTTCCGATACTCTGGCATCGTTCAGTCACGTGCTCGACGATTCTAAATTCGTTTATTGCGAAAACAAATTTATTCAGGACCATCGAACCTCGAATTGTAGATGTCGGTTAATAAGCATCATTTCCGTTGAATTTATAAAAACCTGCGAAGACTATTGAAAATGCAGCATGCAAGATGATGTATAGATTAGTAAGAGAGATCTGTACGACACGAGCGACGAGGTTCGTTCGTTGGAACATGTTAGCTACGCGATGTGAGAAAGGGAGGATCCTGTAAGAATCCCGTGGAAGCCGGTAAAGACTTCTTTCGTAGGTAGAGACGGAACCGCTCGCGGTCATTCTTCGCCGTAATTACCGAACAGATAAGAGAATGAAACACGACGAAAAGAAGGGAAAGCAAAGTATGGGAGCCAACCAAAGTGGTAAGAGGGAAAATCTTCTTCGGTCCTTTTTCCGAGAATAATGCACGCACCCGGGGGACCTGGCTTTCAGGAAAATGCTGATTGCTTCTCTTTCTCTCCGTCCACCATCCGCCACGCCCGACTCCCCTCTCACCCTCTCGCCACCCCCTACCCAGTTAACTCTCCGCGATTCCTCCGATTCTCTTCTTGTCTCCGATATCTTCTTTCCCTTCCCTTGCTTGCCTGAATCAATCCTACTTGATTTCCTTCTTCATTGGCCAGAACATACGCACAGATACCTCTCTGGTCCCTTATCAATATCTCACTTGACCCTGTAGACGTTCACCCCCACCCGAAGCGCCCGCATCTTTCCATCCCTTTTGGAAAGGCACACCACCGTTGCACAAGCGTTGGTAAAACGCTTGCAACGGAGATCGTTCATCTGTTACGACGTTACGTTTCGCGAGGCGCAATAACGTAAAAGTGCGGTCTTTATTGGGAGCGTGAACAATTGTTCGATTGGGAGAGTGTTCGCGACGGAACGGCAAATTTAAATACAAATTTACGTGGGATCGACGGGCGTTTTGATATCGTTGACAGCGTAATATCTATTCACATCGTATTACAGACTTCTTTTGTGGTACGGCGAACGAAAAAAGAAAAAANAAAAGAAAAAAAAAAAAAAAAAAAAAAAGAAAAAGAAAGAAATCGTTACAGCGATATTTGAATGAATTACGAATTATTACGCGAGAACATCGGAATGGACAACTGGTCCTTTAGACCAGACGGATAAACGATCGAATCACGGGTGATGGAGAGGTGTGTACATTACGATGAAAGTGGCGAACGAAAGCCAGAGAAGGCTTATCTCACGGAAGCAACCCTCTCACGGAGGCGACCGGTTCTAGCTCTAGAAAGAGCTCTCTTCCCCTCCCCTCCTCTCTCTCTCTTTCACTTTCTTCCCACCTCTTTTCGGTTGGCCGGTGATCTATCGATTGCACAAGTTTCTGCAGATTGCTTCGCGGATTCTTCTTTGTGCCCCTTCGTGAAAAAAGAAGAGAAAAGGAAAAGAAAAATCGAGAAAGCGCCTTTTAATGAGGTGACAAGGAGGGAAGTGGTAGGAATCGCACCGCCAGCGTGCCGCTTTAGACGGCCTTAATGGTTTCCTATTCACGGGGAGCGTGCGAAAATTAGCAGGGCTAAAAGCATCGTGTAATCGAGTTATTACGAATAAAAGAGGAGCGGCGAGGGCATCGCCTGTGGAATGGTTGCGCGGCAGTTCATGGGAGATACCGTTAAAAGCGACCAATTAATGCTGTTAATTCTATAGCCCGAGCCATCGAACGATCCGCGTTCGAATTGTGCTCTGGTGATCGCGTTTTAAGGAAAAATCGTTGCACAATCTCTAAACAGACGTACATACGTGTCTCTGACGATCGCGAGAGAGTGCTTTAAAATGGAACAATCGTTTGCAAGATTAACGCGCGACATGCTAATATTTAATCCGAATGGTTTTCGAAATCGCGATACAACGAGAAAGGGGACGATCCTGCACGAAGAAATATGTCGATGGGAGAGGATAATAATTTTCTCGCTTGAGGCTTCGTTTTCGAGGCAATTAAATTTTGAAATTTCGTTCGGGGGAATTATTTTATCAAAAACGTTTGAACTGTGGCTCCTTAAACAACGAAACCTTATGAAATATATGAAGAAATTTCGTTTCGCATTCTTTTCTTATTTTCCCAAGTATTAGAATAGAATAGAATAGAACTCCTCTGTTAATTGGTTAATTCTTTTCAATCCGAAATCAGCCGAAATTCGACACGTGACGAAATCTTTAAATTCGATTCTCTCAAGAATGAAACTTTAAACGAACAACCTTTTGACTTAGTTTCTTCAACGTATAAGAGAATCACGTTCTTTCTGATTTCGCTATAATCTCCCAAGCGGGACTAGTGTTGATTTTGATTCGTTTCTCCTGCTGTCAGAGTGAAGAACATAAAATAAATAGAGAGTGAAAGAGAGGGTTCGTTAGCCGATTCATTGAAACTCAGCGTGAAATTGAAACGTTTTTTTAATTCGACGATATTTTCGCACTTTCGAACTTCCTTCGATTCATTCTCCGAACGCTTCGCGTAGAATTTATTGAAAGAATTACAGAGATGTGGCCGTGAATCTGTAAAATGTGTCGGAAGGAATCGTTCGGCACCCGAGTGCCGGAAGTTCGAATCGAGCGATCCAGGCGAATGCTCTCCCACGGAACAGTTTTCTATTTCTACCATCTTCTGCCGTTCCATTTTCGATAGGAAGCCCCCTTTCGTCCGCGTAAATCGCCCAACGAAATCTGATTTCTAGCGTTTTCGACGCTTGATGACGCTCGAAGGTCTTGCGAGGAAACGTGCTGAACAATGGAATGGAACGAATAAACGTAGCTAAAAGGACCATTACCGTCAATTGTACACACACACACACACACACAAAGCACCTTTGGTCCACTAATTAGTTTACTTGGTCGACTTCTCTCTTCGACGCGACTTCGACACGTTTTCGCCGCGATTCTACGACCCTCTCTGCCAATATTCAGCGCCCTGTACAACTAGATTGAGGATTTTCTACGCATTTATGCGAAATCACACGTGCAGCGATGCTCCATTTATATAAACTCGTTGTGGTAGTAACAAGTAATTTATAATATAATTGGAGTTTATGTAATGGGAGGCCATTGATTCTCCCTTCTACCAACGACTCTTCGTTCGTACAATACGAGTTCAGATTCGAGCGACGCAATCACTGCGGATGCAATCGGCAAGAGTTCATTTAATTCGGTTGAAATATGATTCAGTTAAATAGGAGTTGACGCAAACGGAATGTGTTACTGTGAACATGAAAAAAAAATATATATATATATGTAAAACATACAATGTATAATGTTTCCTGCAATATTTCGCGTGTTCAAGCAACGTTCTATCGAGGTTGTTCTACTTTTTCAAAAGTGTAATATGATCGTGTTCTAGGAAAATGTAATTTTTTAGAAAAATTACGCAGATTGAAAGCATTGTTGCATTGTTAAATTAAATTTAGTAATTTTTATTGCATAAAAGTTCGCAGTCTATTCGTAGCTGTAAATCCGAAAA